CCCTCCCTCCCTCCCTCTCTCTCTCTCTCTCTCTCTCTCTCTCTCTTTCTTTCTTTCTTTCTTTCTTTCTTTCGTCTCACTCTGTCACTCAGGCAGGAGTACAGTGGCATGATCTTGGCTCGCTGGAATCTCCACCTCCCAGGCTCAAGCAATCCTCCCACCATAGCCCCTGGAGTAGCATGTGCCACCATGCCCAGCTAACTTTTTGTATTTTTAATAGAGACAGGGTTGTGCCATATTTGTTAGTCTGGTCTCAAAATCCTGGACTTATCCGATTCACCCGTCTCAGCCTCGCAAAGTGCTAGGATTACAGGCATGAGGCATCACACCTGGCCGTGGCTTCTCTCAAATGGTCATATATATATTTGAATTTCCTTCATGCTTTTTTTGTGACTTGATAGCTTATTTATTTTTAGAGTTAAATAATATTCCATTGTCTGATGTACCACCATTGTCTGATCTACTCACTTACTGAAGAACATCTTGGCTGCTTCCCAAGATGTCAATTATGCTTTTGTCAATTATGAAGAAAGCTACTGTGAACACTTGTGTGCAGGTTTTTGTGTGGATATATGTTTTTAACTCCTTAGGATAAAACCAGGGAGCACAATTTGTGGATCACATGGTAAGAGTATATTTAGTTTTTAAAGAAACTGACAAATTGTCTTCCAAAGTTGCTGTCCATTTTGTGTTCCCATTACCAATAAATAAGATGTACATTTCTTCAGAAATTATTTCATAACTTGTCTTTCTAAGGAACTACATATTGTCATCATTTTTTTCTTTTGTTTTAACCACAGAGCTCAATATTGGGAAAACCTTGGTAAAATTATTTAGAAAACGAAAAAATATATTTTTTCTAATAAATAGAATTGTGTTTTAAAGTTTATAATATCCTTAAAATCAGCCGACATTACATTAAAATCTGCATGTCTAAAATGAGTTTTTCCAACTGATGTATTTTGGAAAATAGTACAACCTGCAAATCATTTTTAGTGTATGTAAACTCTTCCCAGATTTTGTTTGACACTTTATATTTGCGTGAGTTCTGGTCATGTATTTAAGTGCCAACCCTGTACGTTATTGCAGCCTACATTTAGTCATATCAAGGAAAGGAGGAAGAGGAAAAGGGAAAGAAAAGGGAAAAAAAAATGAACAGCACTAGCCCAGTGTTAGTAAAACCAAGAAGGAAATATAAATAATAGATAATATCTTAATATATTACGCAGACTTTATGACCACTTATAATTTTGGGAGGCAGTTTCAGTTTACTTAAGATTTATTCATGATTCAAGTTTGTTATCATGAGTAAAACTGCAAATGAGCATAAAAGCTTCATTTTGTAGAAGACTTCGAGCATAATAAATAGTTTGTTCACTTAATGCTGTTTTCTGGTATGTTTCCGTATGTATGGAGTACTTTACAATAAAAATGCAGTTGGATTCATGTTGGTGATTACACATTCATGATTAATGACTGTGAAGGGTACAATTATGGTGATTATATTTTTAATTGGGTATCATATAGTAATGTGACAGCTTTCCCCATAAATGCATACCTATGAATAAGCAATCAAAGTACACATTGCTTTCCCCAAGAAAGTAAAGCCTTATTTAACAAAAATTAATAGTTGAAGTTCTACCTCTAAAAAGCAAGAAATGGAAAATTGTGTTATTTTCCAAGAATATATCATTTTATTCTCTTGTTAGCTTGCAATTCAAATGCTGTGTGATTTCTTTTCATTTAGAAACCTTATTCTTATTTTTGTTTCCTGATGTTACATATGATATAAAAAACTTTGCCAAATATTGCATACCACACAAAACTCATTTCTAACAAGTAATATAAAGAACAATGATTGATATGAAAACATGGGTAGAGTGCAGCTCAGCAAAACTTGTCTTCACTCCCCTTGATAGCAAGGTGTCCTTTTCTGCACTCCACATAGTTTAGGACCAGCTTTCCTTCTAGCTCCTCAGATGTAGGATTTCCTGTTCTCTCCCTCAATGTCATGTTTGAAAACTAAAATTTGACCTGCCCTTTTGTCTTATTTCATAGGGATTATACTAATCAATGAATCCATACTATTCTGGTCACTTCTGTAAGTTTGTTGACCTTTTCTAGTAGCAGCTATAGATGTCAGTCAGGGCTTCCTTTTTTTTTTTTTTTTAATAGATGGAATCTATCACTGTTGCCCAGCCTGGAGTGCTGTGGCATGGTCTCAGCTCTCTGCAATTTACACCTCCTGGGTTCAAGCAGTTCTCCTGCTTCAGCCTCCCAAGTAGCTGGAATTACAGGCACCTGCCACCACACCCAGCTAATGTTTTGTATTTTTAGTAGAGACAGGGTTTCACCATGTTAGCCAGTCTTGTCTCAAACTCCTGACCTCCTGATCTGCCTTGCCTCGACCTCCCAAAGTGCTGGGATTACAGGCATGAGCCACTGCACCCGGGCTAGTCAGGGCTTCCTATAAGGAAGAAGAACTGAAAGAAATAAGATTTCAGGAATTGCCATGAGAGTAAGGAATTGATAGTTGCTCAGCTGAAAATTGTATAATTTAGAAAATATACAAAAATAAGAGCTGGCTGCGTTTTTTGACCAAGATTGTCTAAATCAATATTTAGTATGATAACAAAAATTCAGACAAAGAAAGCAGTTTGGGAACATTTAATTTTAACCAGATCCTTTTGTAATCATGTTCACCATGAATTTTCCAACACCACCTTAAATCCTTTTGGGAAGAAATAAAAAACAATTATGAATAATTAATAATATCATCATGAAACAAACAATTACTAATAATATCATCATTAAAATACTGCAATTAATTACACTATTTATTTTTCCCCTTAGTTCTAATGTTTCTTTTTCATTGACAGATGAAGAACTTAGTATGTTAGTATACACATGATTATGGCCAAGAGAAAGAATTCCTAAAATCTATTTTAAAATCTTTATGCTAATCTCAGGAATAATTATTCATAGGCTCTTATTAGAATTTTTCCTATTATAATTTTTTTATTCTAATGATATGCTGTCATCCTTAAGCCATTATTAATGTTAAAGGCAGTTTTCAAAGATAGGTTATATTTAAGTATATTAGTTTTAATATCTGTGTTTTAAGAATCTTCTCTGGATTATTACTTTGCAGACGTGTTGTTATGCAGCCTTGGTAAATATTTAATTTGGTTTTATGGCAGTTGACCGGTATTCCATGTGGTAGTGATTTGACTAAATCATTTGTTCCTTTTCCTAGATTGCCTGTGCTGTTTTTGCTGCCCTCTTACATTTCTTCTTCTTGGCTGCCTTCACCTGGATGTTTCTGGAGGGGGTGCAGCTCTATATCATGCTGGTGGAGGTTTTTGAGAGTGAACATTCACGTAGGAAATACTTTTATCTGGTTGGCTATGGGATGCCGGCACTCATTGTGGCTGTGTCCGCTGCAGTAGACTACAGGAGTTATGGAACAGATAAAGTGTAAGTTTATTGTTTTCTTTCTTTTTAAATCTAGGTGAAATAAAAGTGTTGGATTTTCTTAGAAGCTAAAGTCTTTATATTACCTCACAGCAATAAATGAAGGAACTGGAGCAGCAAATCTGTATATGTCAGTCCATCGTTATACTTTGGTTATGATGTAAAAGAAAAAAAAATACATTGAGACTTACCATCATGCTGTTTTAAAACAGCATGATTTTTCCACATCCACATCATATTGCATAACTACAAAGAGATCATAATTTTATTTTTCTTCAGAAAATTAAGACGTTTGTCAAAGGAAGGACTAGCTGCATGAAAAGCTGTTTGCTAGTCTGCTAGCACAGGACGGTGTAGCCCCTGACACTGGTGTCTTCTCTACTTTCTGACAAGTCAGTTCGAGTCACTGGAAAACCTTTTATGTCATCAAGAGAAAGAGTATAGGAACAGGGACAGCTTGTGTTTTTCCCCTTTTTTCTAGGTTGGCATTGAGGTAGAGTGATGAATTTTGTTTTCAACATAGCTTTAAATTTGTAAGACATATATATGGAGATGCGCAGCATATTAGGATGAAGTTCAAATAAAAATATATTTTTAATCTACATACATATAACAGTTGAGATCCCCAGAGTAAATCAAAGTTTTATTAGAAAAAGATTAGAAAGGAAACCAAGATAGATCTCTGATGAATAATCATATTTAGAACATAGCCCCAGGAGAAAAAATAAGAGGTAAGCAGACGCTTAGAAAGATTACCATGAGATTCAGACTCAAGGGAAGTGAGAAGAAAGTGTCAAGACGGTGTTTCAGAACACCACCAGGGACCAGACACAGTGGTGCATGCCTATGAAGTTGCTTAGGATGCTGAGGCAGGGGAGTCGCCTGAGCCCAGGCTTTCAAGATTACAGTGAGCTGTGATTATGCCACCTTACTGCAACCTGGTTGACAGAGTGAAACCTCATCTCTAAGAGGCAAAACAAAACAAGAACAAAAAACTACCATCAGTGTTGTTTTATGTCAAAATTAGTTTAAGTTATAAAAAGACAAAAAAACAAAAAAACGTTTGACCTCTGTAACAAGTCTTTTTTTTTAAGAGGTGGGGCCTCTATGTTGCCTGGGCTGCTGGAACTTCTGAGCTCAAGTGATCCTTCCGCCTCAGCCTCCCAAATAGTGCGACAGCCATTTGTGCAAAGTACTGGAAGAAGAGGCAAATTGGAAGGTGTGAAGAGATAAGTCAGTAGTAAGAGTGTTATTTACACCCGGAAGTAAGTAGATTGAAAAATAGTGAAAATATTAACTTATGTGATAATCATGAAGGAAGATTTTAGAGATGAAGTCTTAAGCAGAGCTAGGGTGAGAAGAATCAAATTAATAGAAGGAGATTTGTGGAGAGAAAATTCCTCTTAGAATATATGGGCCAAATGAAAGGGAAAAGTCCTGGGGAATAGAAAGACACACGGCTAAACACAAGATTAGAAAAATCTTGATTTATTACTAAAAGTGGTCCTAGAATTTGCAAAGTCCATGGCACTAATTTTACAGTTGAGAAAATCAAATACTAGATAAATGTATTGCATTGCCTGTGGCTATAGAGCTAGTGGGTAGCAGATGTGAGATGAGCCAAGTCAGGTTATTTCAAATAAACTAGGATGTATTTGTTTATTTATTTATTTATTTGGAAATTGTAAAATGACCCCACATTTTTGAGGGGAGTGTGAAGGAAAGGAAAGGTAAATTTTGAAGCGAAGGAAATTTTCCATCAAGTAAAAGATGTTGCTTTCTATTGAGTGAATAGGTGAGGTCACTTAAAGAACAGATTTGAAAAGCTTTGAAATGAACACTATGGAAAATGTGCTAAGGAGCCAATTAGACATTAATAAAAAGATTTTCAAGCAGCAGTGAAGGCTCAGATCAGGTTAGATAACTTCAATTTGTACAGAAGTTAATAAGCCAAATTTCATGGGTCTCCATCGGCAATCAGCAGTCTGAACATGCTGGCAATAAAACAGCTTGCTTCTCAGAAGTGAGGATTCATAAAAAGGGAACGACAAGGAGAGGGGGCCAGAATTATTGGGAGCATAGTTAAAACAGCATATGTGAACTATGCTATTTTAGGCACCAACAATACAATTAAAAGAAGACTTATTCCTGTTAAGCCTTTGAGTATAGTGGTAGGCTATTTAAAACCATTTGTCTAAATATATTAATAACAATTATTTTTTAATCTTACCTTTGTGAATTGTAATCAAGTCTGTGATTTTTCTGTTCATTCCAGTGACACTTTTGAAATAGACTAGGATTAGCACAAAAACATTATCTGAGATTGCCCCTAAAGATATCTTAGGGGAGGGATGTTAGGTTGATATAGGTTCATTTTTTTTTGGGGGGGGGGACAGAGTTTCGCTCTTGTTACCCAGGCTGGAGTGCAATGGCGCGATCTCGGCTCACCGCAACCTCCGCCTCCTGGGTTCAGGCAATTCTCCTGCCTCAGCCTCCTGAGTAGCTGGGATTACAGGCACACGCCACCATGCCCAGCTAATTTTTTGTATTTCTAGTAGAGACGGGGTTTCACCGTGTTGACCAGGATGGTCTCGATCTCTTGACCTCGTGATCCACCCGCCTCGGCCTCCCAAAGTGCTGGGATTATAGGCTTGAGCCACCGCGCCTGGCCCTCTTTTTTTTAAATAATAACTTTGATATATACATATAACATAAAACTCACTAGTTTAAAGTATACACTTCAGTTGTTTTTAGGATGTTCATGGTATTATACATTCATCAGTAAGGTCTAATTTTAGAATATTTTAATCAACACAAAACGAAACCCCCTAGCAGTTAGATCATGGGACTTTACATTTTGCTCAATGCATTTTCCTACCAAGAAATTGAATAATATAGTTACTTGTGACCTTATACTATTTCAAATATTGTTACGTAGTTCCATTTTGCTCTCCTGAAGTTCCAAATTACGTTTTTGTTTTACATTAAATTTTTTCTCAGTAGGTATTTGGAAATTTTCCTGTTACCGAATTCATTCAATTTGTTTGGTTTGTGTTTTAGTCATTTACTTTGAGACAGATGTCATTTTTTGGACAGTAGAAATCTATCTTTTCTTAGAATCAATAATATGTAGTCTCCTGTGACTTTGTTAAAGCTTTGGCCATCATTACTTTAATTTCCTGCACCATAACTGGAAGCCCTCATTTACTGACATTATTACTGTGTGAAACTAGGGGCTAATTTGTTTCCCAGGCAGCGATTTAAAACAAGCCTTAATAATACTTCAGTTCTGCAATTGTGACTTTTTCCAACACAAAGATAAGCAAAACAGATATAGAGAAAAGGGAGGGTAGATGGAAAACAGAGAGTAAAAGATGGGAAAAATTTCATTATTTCAACTACTTCACAGGTGTACATAAAACATTTTAGTGTCTTGTTTGTACATTTTAAATAAACTGTCCACAGAGAGCATTCAGAACACATGTAAAAAATGTTTGACTTCTACTTTTTGGGAATTCATGGAATCCAACATCTACACAGTGCCATTTTGCCCACTGAAGAAGAAGGTATTGAAGAGAACCAGTACTGACCCATTGGGGTTTACTTGAGAAGTTAAAGTGAACAGATTACTTCCATCAGGACTTAATCAAGACATTGCAATGAAAAATATAAGCCATTAATTTTTACACAACTCAAAGGATTTCTGTATATAGAATTATGTATTTTGTTTCTTATCATTGAGAATGTCTTTGTCCCAGTTTCTCTTGCTGTTGTGTATTGCTTTTATTTTATTTAATATGGCATTTCCTACTCCTTCCTCACTATGTGCCTCTTCTATTCACACACATCTCTGCTATCTCAGGTTTGTTTGCAATGTTACCTTCCTATGAGCCACATAGATTTTTTTAAATATGAAAATATATAATCCAGGTCTAAAATAAAGTAAAATTAGCCAGAAATCAGAGAAATCTTGTCAGCTATTTTCTTTAAATTATTATTAAGCTCAATACAGTAAAATGTATGCCTTGGAAGTCTTTTTTGCTTGTTTTTGGAACTTCATGATTCTTAAGTGTTTATTCTTCAGTCTTGCCTACTTAGAGTACATCTAAAATAAAACTACTGAATGTCTATTACAATAATTCAAATAATAGACGTTTCCCTTTTCTCTGCTCTTAATGTATTTGTTTATTATACTGACAATGAGGTTTTATTTCTGAAACCTTTAATATAATAATAATACCTTACATTTCTAAAATTGGGAGAATTATATTAATGGTAGGAGATAAAATTAGAGATAAAATTGTTTTATAGGTTAAATAAATGCTATTTTGATAGATACGGAGATAACTACCATATTCCCTCTGGCTGATGGATTTTCATATGTTTTCTATGAAATGTTATTAGGGCTATTGAATTTATTATTATGTATAAAACACATACACACAAAGCATAAAAATTTGATTTAGAGAAGTTGCTTAGTTTGCCATCAATTTGCAGTGCTTGTAAAGAGCCATTATGTGTTTAACAAAATCTTTTTATCCGTAATGCCATTATATTCAAGAACATTCTTAGAATAACATTTGGTTAAAATAATCAGACATTTTAAAAATCCATTTAAAAAACCAATAATCTTTAAAAAAAAATTCTGCTAATACACCACAGGTATAAATTGCACTGTTAATGGGCATTCATTTTCATTTGTCTCTTCTTTATATCTTTCTTTGTCTCTTAGACTATTATTTATATGGGTATTCAGTGATGCCATCAATATGATAGTGTCAGAAGATAATTATAACAAAGGCTGGCACTGACTTAACAATAATTCAGACAGGGCACATTTGGAAATTCAGTGCTAAATACTTTTGGTTTTATGACCTGAAACTAATCACTTCATTTAAACTTTAATTATTGCAATATTACCAAAACATCAAAACTGTTTGAACAGTAAATTTTTATTTAAAGAAAAAAATCAGGCCAGGCGCGGTGGCTCAAGCCTGTAATCC